GGTTTAATATGAAACAATAAGGCTTAATCAACGAAATATGATTTGGATGAATTTATGGATCAAGTAATATGTGGTGGTTTAATCTTGAAATCAATGAATGTTTTTGGATCTTCAAATAAATGATCTCTATAGAATAAATATGAATCAACACACTTTTGGGTGTTCTTATGGTATGATATATATAGGGAAATTGTTTGGGATGAAAATGGATTGAAAATCCAAGTGTTTGAAGCAAAGCAGAATCTTGGACATCGACATGTCACTCGAGCGACAAGCAAGCGACGTCTGAGCAGTCGTCAGTATTTTTATCATAACTTTATCTTCCAATATCTGATTGAGGTAATTCAAAATACGTTGGAAAGTTAACTCAAAAGGCTACAATTCTTCAAGACATCCTTATCTAAATTCCAATTTTTTAATGTGAAAAATGTGTTGCAAGTTGCGACTAAGAATTGGGAGAATAATTTGTGCCGCTCTTTGACACTTTTTGGACTTCTAAATGCATTACAATGATCATATGTGATCTTTTTGGACTCTTTCAAGGACTAATATACTACCAACTCAACTCTTTTGACTTTAATTAAGATTCAATAACTCTTATTTTGATTTTTATTACAACTCGATAAACTCCTAATACAATTCAACTAGGACTTGATATTGATTAAGGAAATTGCCAATTACAAAATTAAAAATTTTCAATTATAATTTGAATTTAACAATTTTCCTTTGGCATTTTGTGACAAAATCATATTTATTTCAGAGTAAAAAAGTAAAAAACTACACAAAAATAAATTTCCACAATTTTCTTCAATAGTTAGTCAGCATATTTCCTGAAACAGGTGGAAATCACAATATCACATAAAAAGCAAGAGGAAACTAACAAAACCAAAATATATAACTAAGTTAAATAAAACACATAATAGAACACGTCTAACACCGAAACATTCAATATCATGTGAATTATAAACTTTGAACTAAACCATAGAATTTTTTTTATCAATATAGACAAAATACAAAACAATATCAATAATAAAATTCCACCAAATATATCAAATGACTTCCCCTATATCATATGTCAATCAAAAAATTCAAAATTCTCCCCCTAACTCATATAATCGACTCCCTAAAATAAATACACATCTCTCCCCTTTTTGTTACGAATAATAAATGAAAGAAAATTAATAATCATGTTAAACATAGAGAGGAATGAGTAAAAAAAATATGCACATGTATAAAGATATAAAAATTATGCAAAACATGTGATAGGAGAATAAAGATTTATCAATTTTGAGACCAATTTAAAAAAAAAAAAAAATCATAAATTTTCAACTTTATCACCATGAACAGTTATTTGCTTACTTATACATGCATAGTTCATAAACAAGAAAATTTTTCCACATAATTTATTTTAAACCTAGATAAAGTAAATTGTATAAATCATTCATATATGAAAAGTACCATTAAACTCATGTAAGCAAGTCTCAAAACCTTAAATCAATAAGAAATCACATGCAAAGAATCGCTGATGAATGAATATATTTTTCAAAATATGAAGTCAAACCATGTGTTACTAGGACCTTTATAAATAAAAGAGTTCATATTTCATTGTATAATTATTTTTTCTTTTTCCCCCTATCCGTGAACAAAAATATATATATTTGACTCATGTAACAAGTTTTAGGCTGATGACTTATAGAGCACCAAGTATTAGGATTCCCATCAGACTTAATTATTCAAGTCATTGAGACTACAAAAAAAAGTATAAGATTGTCTCACAACTTTTTTCAAAAAAAGTTCTTTGAAGTTCAATAGTACTCTTCTTTTAACGGGAATATATAGGAGTTTAGGTTAACTAGTTTAAAGGTCATTCCATATTTAAAGTCAATTCACCACACAGATAACCGCCATCTCAAATCTCAAACACACAGTCAAAACCAACTCATACGACTCTATTGTGTGCAGTGCAAGATACATATAATAGCCTATACTAAGTACTACAAACAAATTCTAAACAAATTAATGAAAATTTAATTTATCAATTATGAACCTAACAGTACTTGATAGAAAAATAACCTGTCCAAAAAAATATAGAAAATCTTTCCATTTTTCAATTTTTTTTTTAATTTCATTTTTCAAGATAATAAATAAAATGCAAAGCAAATAAAGAAAAATTTTAGAGTGCATGCATAAATATGTAGATACCATGAATAATGCAGATGGATGCATTAAACAACCTACTCAATAAGGCACATAAAAGTTTTTACCATGAAGAGCATCGTGATCAAATTCATAATCTCTCATATCACTCTTCTTTACCCAGACTTTTCAAGAAGCAGAATTAATTCTAGTCAATTGTGTCATCAGCTCATTCAAGTGACTAACCTAATTAGTAAGAAAGTCAACCCGACTAAATATATTCTAACTTTTATTTATTTTCAAAAGCTTGTGACACATAAAGTCTTATATGTCCAAACTCACCACAATTGTGACACGTAGGAAAAAAAATAGGTAACCATAGGTTTCATAATTTGATCCTTAGGTGGAGGAAATCTATGTTGTACAGATGATTTCGGTCATCGAACACCTATATTTTTGTTCGTGTTCCTATTCAATAGCTTGAAACACTTATGTCTTATGTGTCATATCTTACCACAATGGTGACATGTGGGGATGAACCTAGGAGCGGCTCTAGGTTTCAAGTTTTGAACCTTAGAATATGAAGTAGCATTAACCTTTTTAAGCACGATTTTATTCACCTTCTTAGTTTTAAGACTCTCTTCAAATAACTGTTCGTAAGCCTTCCGAACTTCCATATCACACTCAGATCCCGAATCAGAAACTGATTAACTCATCTAGACAAAATTTTGGGCCAAAGATCGCTATTAGGCTCAGATACCATTTGAAAGTTTTAAATTAACCTATTTATTTAGATCCAACGTGCAGAATTACACAATTAAAAACAACAAGTCACTTTTTAATCCACTATAAATCGAAACAAACTTACAGTACGGTACGGATCAGTCTACTCTCTAGAACTTTTGACCTCATTTCTGCAGTCTCCCTTGATCCTGCTAGAGGTGTGCTCCTTCAAACAAATCCCGACTCCTGGTTTATACTTTAGCCCTCCTGGACTACGTGCTCCAGCGAGCTCTTCCGATCTCTAGATCCTGCTAGAGGTGTGCTCCTTCAAACAAAACCCAACTCCTGGTTTATACTTTAGCCCTCTAGGACTACGTGCTCCTGACACCAGATCCCGACTCCTGATACCTCAGCTTAGTCTTCCTGAATTTGTACTTCTGCAATATATAGGAAAAAGTGTTTGGGATGAAAATGGATTGAAAAACCAAGTGTTTGAAGTAAAACAGAATCCTAGACGTCGACCCGTCGCTCGAGCGATAGGCGAGTGACACTGATGGTTGTGTTTGTCGTGCAGTCTCCTCATTGTTACTGAGATTTACTTTGTAGTAATTACAGCAGCTAATGCATAACTGAGAGAATGATTTGAGTACAAAAATAGAGCATTTCTCATGCAGACATATCTGTAGAGAATCGATGCAGGATCATTAGGAAAATCTACATTGATTTTTTGACAATTCACATAGAGCACTTGAGCTTTCCGATAGAATGATACTGGAGTATCACATTGGGCCAAATTACATTACATTTCTTGGTACTCTATCTGCTTGTGCCCATGCAGGATTAGTTGCTAAAGGAAAGAAATGGTGCTGTATCTGCTTGTGCCCATGCAGGATGAGTTGCTAAAGGAAAGGAGATCTTTCAGAGCATGTATAGAGACTATTCAGTGTAACCAAGAATGGAGCGTTAGGCTTGTATGCAGGAAGTTTGAACCAAGCTCTTGAATCTATGTTCAAATGCCTGAAAAGGCTGATTCTAATATTTGGCCAGCTTTGCTTAGTTTTTTGTAGACTGCATGACGATGTGGAGCTAGCTAACTTAGCTGCCAACTAGCTTTTCAAGGTAAATGCTAGGGGTTGGCCTGGGGCATATGTTACATTATCTGGTACATTAGCTGAGGGCCTGAGGCTGGAAAATAGGATATGTAAATCTACTCAGGGAGCTGATGAAGTTAAGGCGATTACTGAAATGTACTGACTTCGCTTGGGTTGGGACCGATGCTGGTTTAGAAGCTTTCCATGCCCGGTAGTGCTTGTCATAAAATGGTTGGGGTTGGACGCAGTCTGATTCGAAATCGAACATAACACAAATGGATATCTTAAAAATGGAACCATTGGTTCAATCTCTAGGTATGGAATCGGACCGGAACTATTCAAGATCGGTCCAGTTCAATTCATTTAATTATGAGTTATCAAATTCACTAACCGTTGCAAATGGAATGTAAAAGTATAAAAATTTTTCAAACTATAATTGTTTTAAGTATCTAGATTCTCTATAATCTTTTCGTTAGAACGAATTTCGTTAATGCTAAAAATTTTCTTTTTTCAAGCTTAACTAAACGTAAAAATTTGCATCAACTGGTTAACTGTTGACATGAATAAAAAAACATGTTCAAATCTCAATTCCATTTTTATATGCTTATAATTTAAAGTATCAATTTGTCTGCTTCATAAATAACACCAAAATGGACTAATTATGACTCGACATATTATGGACTAATTATGACTCGACACAAGCCACTGTTTAAAATAAAAAATAAATATTTTGGGCTGATTTTTTGGTTCTGGGTATTAAAACCGAGAACCAGGCTGCTTAGTTCTCAATTTTGATATCCAGAATCAATTAGAATTTGAGTACAACCAGACTGAATTGACTGGTTCCAGTACCTTTTGCTCATCCCTACAAAATGGTAATATATGAATAACATCCTGACATAAATATTCCTCACAGTTATAAGCATTTCTCCAGAATCTTTGCTGAAATGTCAATTCCATTCTTTGCTGAAACAAAGATGACTTGATATTGAATGATGTCTTTTCTGTTAGCTTGAGAATATTGATATACTTTCTTCCTGTTTTCCAGCATCAACTGCATTGCATCATACTTCCTGTTTTCCAGCATAAAAAACTAACTAAAATTCGAGCAAGCACGGGGCTAAATTTGTATTTCTTCTGATCAATAAATATTTTGTTGACATTATTCGAATTGCAAGAGAAAAATATCAACCAAAACCTACAAAGTTCCAAGTACAAAATGTTTCCAATGAATTGTGTGAAATGGTGCAATAATTTCTGTTGTTTCAATTGCACCACACAATATATTCTGTTTGAAAAAGAAAATAAGTTTCACGTTTAATACCCAAAAGAAATCCTCAAAATGCATATCGATAGATAGCATCAGCAACTCCGTCTTCATCATTGCTAATACCAATCACATTCGCTACTGCTTTAGCCTTCTCTGATCCGTTACTCAGAGCCACTCCAAGAGAAGCCAGGTCGAGCATCTCAACATCATTTTCCCCATCACCAATAGCCATTACCTTGTAGCCAATAGGAAAATTGGGTGCAAATATAAATAGACCATATGTCCAACAGCAACAATTATTATCAATGAACTAGCAGCCCAATTCCTTAAATACGCAAACTAGTGGTTATCATATTTATTGCTTGTTTGGGAGAAATTATAATGGAATTATAATTAAGAGGAGAAATGAGTCCCATGTGTTGAGAATTAGTTGGTAGTAGTTGCGAATGTATGGTTAAAATTAATGTTTGACTTTGACTTCAACTAACGAGATTATAATTTTTTCCTAACATGCACTTAATAATTTCATTTACTGCTACAGATAGATGTTGGGCAAGCCAGTTGAAATGGTTGTACGTGAGAGGGTGGATATGTAGCAGTTAAGTGGAAAAAAAATTGGCGAATACATGAAACCTTTAAATGACAATTACTTGCAAATATAAACTTTTAAGCAAATTATGTGGGTAAGATTTAGAAGCATGTGGCTAAGCTTAGAAGTTACTTTTTAAGTGACCTCTTCTGCCATACATGTTTCAGCTTTTCTAGCAGTTACCTTTCTGGGGAAATTTTGAGGTTCTAACTCATTGCTTTTCTTGTAGTGCTTAAAAGTTCTGAATCATACTAAATGGGTGATAATAAGTGGCTAGTAAGTTGTGGGTCCTAGTAGATAAAAAGTATGTTTGACCAGCTTAAATCATTATTTAAGTTTGGCCAAATATGCTTCTAATTTTTTAAGTAATTTTACTTTCCTTTAAACAAGATCTGCTAAGAGCCTGAGACATACCTCCTTTGGAGTAATGCCCAAATGATCAAGAAGCATTCTTACAGCACTCCCTTTTGATGTCCCAGAAGGTACAATTTCAAGCATATCTGGTACAGCTTGGACGACAGATGCATGATCCCCAGTTGCTTCTGCCCAATATGGCCGCAGAACAGTAGAAACTCCCTCAGCAGTGTCTAAGAAGATCAGCTTCTACATTTTCAAATGGCAAGCCAAAATGAGAAATATTGCACAAAAAACAGCTATAAACCATGACTATTTGAAGAGGGAGAAATACACAGTTCTCATCATCAAGTGATAATTAAGATTAATGGCACATTATCAAAAGAGGAGGATCCATGCTAGAAATTATGGCCCCAAGGATTAAGTCATCTGCAGGGTAAGATACAGTTGGCATTAGGTATTTTTGTTGAGTAAAGCCAAGTAAAATATATCCAGAGTGATATTTTTGGCCCCCTGGTTCTGAGAATATTTCCAAATGAGGAAGAACATGACAATGTAATCCATGGTGCCATATAGATCAATCATAATTACAAGAAAATATTGTTGAGCAGATCAAGAGTTGAGACTAAATACATATGCTTAATTTCCCTCTTCTTATCTCCAATAATGAGAAGTCAGGATATACATGAGCATCAGTCTAATCCAACGATTTGCATATTCCAATCACAGGTTATAAGTCCAGTAAAGTTTTGGATATTTATGCATCAAGCATTAAAAATAAATGTGTATTGATGTAAGGATTTAGGCCAAAGTAATCATGCAACAAATATGCTACAATGCAAGTCTCAGTCAAGTAGTTAAGATCATGCATTGAAGGCTAATCACATCCAGCTAATACAGATTAGGCAGCATTTCATCCATCTTGAGCATGTTTGGTTAACTTTAAAGTAATTTTTTTGTGAAAAATGTTTTGAGATTTTTTTCTTAATTTTGAAGAAAAATACTTTTACTTTTTTTCTAAAGCTTAGCAAAAAAATGCTCATAGTTCTTCATCCTCCCACGTACACTCCTAATACCCGCCAGCAACGATCAATGACCCTTTGTGCTGAAAACAATGAATCTGGCAGAGTTCAGAAAACACACCTGTATGTGTACGCCTGCCAAAAGCTGCTCAACTGAAGGTATAATTTCTGCCTGTCAAAATTCCATGGCAAATACATTTTCAAGAAATCCAACGTGGACCTATTCAAAGAAACGAGTGAGACAACTGAATAATGAGGCACCTTTGGCTCTTGATATACAGTATGAAGTGAGTCCACAAGAGGGTGTTCAAACAATGTTAAGCAACGATCCTCACTGAAGGCAATAAGAGGTACTTCATGCTTGAGAGAGTAGAGAAGTGCCTGCAATATAGAGTAGAGCTACTTACACTTCTTTACTCGGCAGAGATCAAATATAATTTGATGATTTTCGGTGTCAAGTATACTCAACTCCACATTATGATCAGCTTCAAACCAAATACGTAAAAGCATGCTTGTGCTCTTCAAAAATCAGTCTCAACATGACTAAGACAGGTAATATTACAAGCAGAAGGCAAAAGGTACTTACTTCTCTACAAACATTTTGATCTAAATTCCTTCTAAATATTTCCCGACCTTGTCTGCCATATACAAGTAATCCCTGGATCAATTTTTTAACAGAAAAAAATATGAGACAATGTGTTGATATGAGGAAATAATGCTGTGATGAATGTTGATGTTTACGACCAGAAGAAGAGATAATGTCTACCATCAAAGTCCTGGTATCTGAATAACTGTATATACATATCTACTCTCCCATCAGTTTAGCCTGTTCTTTATCTTTCCTACCATAGCATCAAAATTTATTTGTTCCCACGTTCTCCTATTTTTATGAATAATGTGTTAGTGCAATCATATAAACAATTATCCTTCTTTATGAAAAGAACAGCATAAATATCTCCAAGACTTCTGCAGAATTCCCAGTAATGAAAAAACTTCCTTGCTTGTCCACCATCATCGCCCATCAAGAGAGACAGACCAGTAGAACAAGTAGAAGATACAACAAAAAAATGAACTCATGGTGTGAGGTTGTAGAAGGAAACATTTCTTTCAACTAGGTGATTCTTAGAAAATATGTTCATTTTAAATAACCAAGATGTAGGCCATGAAGATTGCAAGAGAAATGACTTAATAATGTATCATTTGTTTGAGAATAAACAAAAGAATGTTGCACCAACTTACTAAATCTTATGTCCAAAAACCTTGTTTGCCAGTTTAATAATTCATAATTATATCTAAAAACTTCTAACAACCAATATGGAATTCTTGTTATAATGCTAACTTGGAAAGGCCAGATATTAAGCACTGGAGACTGTAAACATTTAACAAGCCAAAGAATGAACAAGTGAAAGGCAGACCTGCACAAAAACCCCAGGAGATAACTCTGAAGCAATGCCATCTTTGCCAGCTAAATCCACCATCTTCAGGATGTTTATCACAGCTGGACGAGTCTGTTTCCAAAGATGGAACATAAATAATCGTCTATTAGCATCTGTATCAAGAAAGCAGCACTACCTAACATAATAGCAGAAATGAAGTCTAGAAAGAAGTGAATAGAAATTTCCTTACTTTTCCAGTGGCTATCACCACCTTTACACCCCTTGATGTTGCTTCTTTTAAAGCTTGCGCAGTTGACAAGGAAATATGACTTTTGCTGTTGAGCAGTGTGCCTTACATTAACAACGTGAATTCAAATTAGTGAAACACTAATAAAATGCCATTGCAGGCTTGTGACAGCATTATTTATATTATCTTACCATCCATATCGCAGAAGATATAGCTAAATTTTGGCTTGTAAAAACGAAGACTGCCTTCTCTTCTTCTGTCTTTTCAAAAAATCAAAAGTGAGAATTTCTCTGTGATCTCATGAAGAGAACGTCATCAGTGTCCATTGAAGTATAAGTTTATTGAACAAAAGGCTTAAGACTAAGAATTCATAGGTAAATTACCATCTGCATCATCAAGATGCAGACTCCCATTAGTCTCAGCATCTTGTGCACTCTGAATTAATCCTTTCCCCTTCCACCCAAGACTCTTCAAAAGAAGTTCCTCCTTCATTTCCATTTCCTCTTCAGCCTCATCACTTAACTCGTGATCAAATCCCAATAGATGTAGCAATCCATGAACCTGAAGGGAAGAATCACAATTTTTGGTCTAATCAATCAATGCATGGGTGCAAAGTTTCGAAATATTAGTGTACCTTTCAACATCTATTTCCCTTTTCTGTCATCTAAGAATCAACCTACTTTGAGAATAATGTTTTTTTTAGTACATGTTTGGTACATAGTATTGGACAATATAATTAACAAAATTTAATCTCCTTTTCTTTGTAAACTGTCTTGTATTACCCAAAGCAGCCACATGCTTTATTGTTTAGTAGAGAAAAAAAGTGGATGATTGCCACACTCCATACTCAAAACAATTACTGCAAATCATTTTATAGCATATATATTCCAGTCTTCTGATGATTTTCCAAAATCAAGAGACTCAAACAAATGGCTAAATCCTGTAAAACACAATGCAGAAGCTTAACAAAATCTAAACAGATTTTTCAAGAATTCTCATCGGATTCTTCTTAATCCTATTGTAGCGTCTTCTTATTATTATTTTTTTTTCTACAGAACAGTTTTTCATTTATACATAATAAAATTCTCAGTAAACAATATCACAGCACCAGCCACAGAAAATGCAGAAGCATTAGGTGCCTTGTGTCTGTCACATGTCTATCACATTCTCTTTCCATTGATAGATCAAGAGAAATCCTAAAACTGGAACTAATGGCGGAATTTCAGCATTCAATATGATTTTACAGTGTTCTGAATTCCAAATTATTGAAAGTGTAATAAACAGAGGGAAGAGAAGCCAGCTGCAGGTGTTAATAAACCGTGACGCATAATATACAGCACATTTTTCCACCTTGATAAGAAGCCAATACTTTCCTTTTTGAAAATAATAAGTAGCCAACATTTTAAGTATATAAAAACTGGATAAGCATCATTGAACTAACCAAAAGGATTCTTATCTCATCGAGAATAGTGTGCCCTCTCTCCTCTGCTTGTCGTGAAGCAGTCTCTACCGAAATTACAATATCGCCCAACATTAGCTGCAACAAGTGACAATTGTCAGGTTTGCCACACAAAATACATCATACATGCAAGAGATTGAGTTCTTACAATTGGAAGCTTTAGTTCAGGAATATGTTGTGACATTGAGAGGACATCAGTAGCATGGTCTTCACCCCTCCATTCTCTGTTAAGTTTCCTTATGAACTCATCATTGCAAAGAAGTACTGATAACTCAACGCTCTCAAAACAACCAACATCACTGATTGAAGTATCTCTTGTTTTATAAGTGGAATTACTGAGACCATCAAATGCTAACTTCATCGCCATTGGGACATTAAGACGAAGCATTTCTGCAATATCCTGCAAAATGTAATAAAGAAACTTAAAAGAAATTTTCCGCCCTTAAATATAGCATTATACAGTATATGTCAACTCAGTGTCAATGGATCCTTCAAATATCAGTGTTTACACACTGTATACATATAGTATATACTCGGAAACAATAGCACATGAACAATTAACATCGACATATGCAAATTTCCTCCTTTCGTTCCCATTAATCTATAGTGCATTATGTCTCAAATGCACTTTTTCCCATACAATTCTTCAATGCACATATATATGATTTCAATGTACAAAAACAATCAAATGCAGCAAATGTGGATTAAAATGCGTCAAAGAAAAGCACACATACATATATTACTGCAAGCCGTAGCCGAGTAAAAACAAGTAACTTACTTTGAACTTGGACCAATTAAAAAGTACTTTTTTGAAACATGCTTGCTACTTAAAAGTAAACTTTTTAAGCTTAGTACATGCTGTATATCGATTACCAAAATTTCAGAATCTTCAGGCAACTGTTCTTCGATGCAAATCTGGACACTGAGCTCCAGCTCCCTTTCTTTACTCTTCCTCGCTGCGGCCGGCCTTCTGCTGCGCACCTTCCGGTATTCTCTTCGTGATACCGCCAGAGTTTCCATTTTTCCAATTACATTTACATTTCCCAATCCTCGTGCAAAGCTCAAGCTCCTATAATTAAACTTCCTCCGACCAAAAATCGTGGTAGAGTCCCACGAAGCCGAACTTACGAGGTGCGAACGAGGAAGAGACGATGTAGCGACGGTGGATGAAGGGAGGGCGCCCCTAAGCACACGCGCCGCCATGGAGGAGGTGGGATGGGGAGGGATAGTGCGGAGGAGAAGGGTAATACGAGACAGCATTCAGGTGGATATTGTGAGCAAATGGTTAGTTTTATGGTGGTAAGGTTTTCACAGCCTCACCTCATTCACACAGTTACTGTGCGTGTACCGAAGGGTAACGATAGGCGTTGCCGATGAAACCGAAGGGAATTTTGTTTGGGAAGCAATCCAAGTCTCGGAGAGGGAAAAAATAAAAATAAAAAATTAATTTTATATAATTAAATTCCTTTTGAAATAGAAAACTACCACGGTAAAACATCAAATAACAAACTATAAAACTAGCACGCATATATAACATGTAGAACGATTATCGATAATTCTTACTATAAATAACATTATTCTTTAAATAGACGTAATTTTTAATTTGGGAACACTACTATCTCGTTTTAAAATATTGAAGGTATAGGAGCGATAAAAGGTAGGTTATATACAAGAGTAATGCAGTACAATATAATTATTTACCTTATATTTAAATAAATAATTTTCTATTAGCAAGTTACATCATTGAGTAAATTGTATATTTAATACCAATCTCTCTCTTTTTTTTTTTTTTTTTTCGAAGTTAAACTTTTATCTCCAGCATTTTTTTTTCATCGCAATATTGTCCCTAACTTCTTATGGTGACAATGGGTCGATCAAATCGAATTATGTTGCTCAGGAGTCCCTCGACCCATTAGTCTACGAGCGAGCCTAGGTCGACGACCTGGGGGACATTCCTTGCTCGGCCCATGCCCCGTGAAGGTCGATCCAACTTCCAAGCCCTTCAATTTTTTAAAATGCTGATATATTTTCAAAAAAAAATCAACCCAACAGTAGCATTTTTGTAGCCACCATAACATGCTACTTTTGCAACATGTTATACATAAATAGTAATGTAGTAGCATGCTTGAAATGAGGAAGAGCTCGATTGATTGTGCTTGTGTTGGATTTTCAAGCTTGTCTTTAGAGGATATAGAGAAGATTTCATTTGCTCCATTAGCTATAGCTTTTCGACAAAGTTGTGACAATATCTTGTGGCACTTGGTATTAGAGCTACATGTTTCGCATTCGAGTTGATATTGAAGCATTCTCATAAAGTAGGTGAATAATGCAGGAGCATGCTTGAAATGGGGTGAGCTCGATGAATTGAACTTAGTATGGGTTCTTGGGCTTGATTCTATATAGCATAGAGTTGATTACATTAGTGACATGAGCTATAGGTTTTGAAGAAAATAATGGCAATACGATGTATCAAACGAGCTGCATTGGAAAACTGGGGCAGTCCACAGGCTAGCTAGCGAATCTCATGAACTTAGTGGCCTGGCCCACGTAGTTGAAATCCAAGCTTGACTCGATTCTAAGAAGATCACAATGTCAAGGGCAGGAGCAACTCATGGGCCGAGCCCACACGAGTCATCTATCGAGCCGACAAGTGGTTGAAGCCTATTACCACCACTGTCAACCTCCTCCTAATTACTAAGATTAAACAGTCGTCACTCATAGAATATATAAAAAGATTTGTTAGCATATAAAGAGACATTTTGCCTACTACTTTAAATAAACAAAAAATAAAAGAAACAGATAAAGGTAACAATGGGCTACGACCTAGCCGTTTAATTTCAAATTTTTGTTTCTATTTTTCAGAAATGGGCTTTTGGTGATGCTTCCAAGAGTGGTCCAAGATCGAGCTCCTTTTTATTGAAATCTTCATAAAGTTGAGAAGGCGCATAACCAATCTAGATTTGGATCTAAATTCAGGCCTTGTATGGAAGGAATTAAAATCGGATTAAAATTGAAAATATAGCCATCATTGTTGACTTTTATTAGACGAGTGAGACCCAATATCGGTCATATTTTCAATTTTAATTGACTTTTAATCCCTCCCGAACGGGGCCTCAATAAGACAATGTAGCGACAAGGTGAAGACAAGTACACACGTCGCTATGGAGAAGAAGGTAGGGCAGGGAGGACAAGGGATAGTGTGGAGAGTAATGTTATTCATCTTCACTGAGGATGAAAACACAGTTTATGTAACGTTAATATGGCATTAAATAATAGGTAAAATTAAATAAGTAATTTAATTTCACATTTCATTTAACATATCATTTAAAGTTACCTAAACTGTGTTTTCATCCACACTGGAGATGAATAACATTACTCTAGTGTGGAGGATAAGGAAGATGTGAGATAGTATCCAGGTGGTTATTAAGAAAATGGTTACTTTTATGGTTGTTCGAAGTTTTCATCACCTCACCTCATTTACACTTGTGTGATGATCAGAAGTATACGATTTTATAAGTGCGTGTTTGACACATTAATTTATTTTATGGTTTGGTATATGATCATGTTCAATCACACATTCATATAATAAAATATTCTACATGTGTATCAAAAAATTTTCCTACTTTTTAACCCCACATTCTCCTAAAAATACTATTCAAAACTCATTTTTTTCCTGATTAATGAGAATCAAACATGCTCTTAATTAAACAAGTAATAAGGTTGATCTAAAGTCTGGATAAAGCAAGCATTGATGGCAATGTTTTGATTAAACTAGTATTAACAAAAAAAAAGTCAAAGCAAGTAAACAATCAAATATGATAGTCAAAATATTACAACTCAATATCATAGTAGTTATCCCCTTTAATCTTGCATTAGTTCAACACCTAAAGTTTTACTCGATCAAATTCACTAATTAAATCAATTTAAATCTTTCAAGTTCAAATCAATCATTTTTAGTTGAATCAACTTACTATGTCTCTATGTGAATTCGAATAAACAACAACTTGACGCATTAAATCACTTAAGAGTTCAATTAAAGACTCCAACAATAATAAAAATGTATCTATACCTTTCATTCAATTCGCAAATTTTACTACACGGTCTAAATGTGTAACTTACCTTTTGGTTTGTTATCAATTCGAAAATGAATGAAATAGTGCCCGGTTATTTCAAAACATTTAGAACTTAAGTAAAATCAATACAAAACATAATTAACTCTAAAAATCTTGAAATTTGAAATAAATGTTTAAAACTAGCTTACATCTTTCGTCCGAACTATTGGTTTAGATACACATCATAATGAAAGAAAAACACCAAAGTATTTTGTAATACATCACCGTATTTAAAAGAAAAATTACAAAAATATGAACTTCTTGCACTAAGAATGTATCTTCTGCAGGCAAGTTTTTGAAATTCTAGCTTTAGAGGAAAGTTGACAGAAAGATTATCTTCTTACACTAAGAACGTTTTATTTTTAATGGAGCCCAGAGTGGGGCATGTACTCAAATCGCCTTGAAATTCATGCCTCAAAGCAATTACCAAAAACCGCAACAAAAAATTATTTTTAAAATTTTTTAAATCCATAGCTTGCTTTTTGCAGTCATACCCATAATTGAATATTTTATCCAAATATTCAAAAAAATTTTATAGTATAGGTCCATTTTATCCAAATATTCAATTTTTATTCCACAACTTCCCAAAGCATCAAAGATGGACTCGAACCTCCATATTCATCCAAAATGGGTAATCATCAAGTTATAAAGTGTGCAAACCAGTCTCCAAGCTTTTCATAAGTTGAATTTTACTCCCAAAGATTTGAAACTACTTGAATAATTCATTGAAGGCTTCTAGGTTATGATACTAAAACTACTTTTTACTTAGCCAATGCTCGATCAATGTGTGCGTACATAATCATTCCAATCACCATAGGTCTTTAAGTTGTTTATATCCTAACCCTTAATGATCAATTATTTTATCTCTCTCTCTTGGTATGCAGCCCCAACTTGATATTCAATCACCTACATGGGGGTTTATTCTTTGGTTGCTCTCACAACAAACCCATTCCTTTTACGCTCGCATTTGGTTGGGTTTGCCAGATGGAAACAACTATTTTGATACGTGATGATTCTCCATAGATTAGAGTATCCCAACCTTCAAACTTCCTCTAGACAAATCAATCCCACTAGACGTCAAGATCCCCAAATTAAATGTCCCAGGCTCAGCCAAAAGTGTATTACTTTTCTTTATTGCAAATGCTTACATCATTTCTTTTTTCTCACTTGTAGGTAGTTATTTTCTTCATTGATTATATCAACATTATGCCATTTCTTACTACTATTTCTTCTCTCTACCCTCTAGGGTATGTAGCACCACTCAAACGCTGTGTTTTATTTTTACTAATGCAGGCCGCTTCTTCCTACTCTTCATCTTTCTTTCTAGACCAGTATAATGCCTTTTATTGTGACGAATAGTTGGGATCAGAACTCTAGCGTATGATTAATACCTATGTTTCACTTGTTAACCAAAAATACTCTACGCAATATTCAACAAACACAAAATCAACACATATCTAAATAGTATCTACCCGTAAATTATCGTTTTAATTGGTTAGATGGTTGTGTTTTCACTTTATAATCTTGGTTTTAGCAACCTATGTCCAAATTTTGTTTCATATATTCTACCAATGTAACCAAATCATCTAATCGCAGTTCATGAATCATAAACAGTTCCAAATAAGTATCATAGTTAGCTAGCAAGACTATCCAACTCACACAAATACTTATAACAAAAAAATTAATATTATTTTCTTATTTTTTGGAATTTTTATAGCTTATTTAATTTAATTTTTTTCTTAAATTTTCAATATCTGAAAAAGAAAAATAATCTTATCCACAAGCAAACATAGTAAAGGTGACGAAGTTACAGCCCAAACTCAAAATACATATTGTTCTCAATGTGAGCAAATAAATAAATCTAAAGAATGATAATAATACTCCCCGTATCATATGATTATGTCTCTCCTTTAACATTTGGTCATCTATCTACCTTTAGTTTCATTTGCTCGTTCTACATAATATTTCCATTATATCAAAAAAGAGAATGAAAATATAATTAACTATAAAATATTCAGTTGCAAGAAGAAAAGTTTGAAATCACATCGAATTTAGGCTAACTTATTTTTGACTATCTTGCCTAAGATAATGAGTGATTTCAAGAGTGAGGAAAATAATGTGTAACATTAAATTTTTTGGAGATTGTTAGGATGATAACTTGTATAACCTAGGTTAAAGACCTCAGACTAGACCTATACTTTTAAAAAAAAAAATTGCCTTACAATAAGCACTTATTATTATTTGCTTATTAAATGTAAATGCAAAAGCCTACTTTCAATGCAATACAATCTAACTAATGCCAATAAAATAAGAAAAATAATAGAAAATATATTTGCCTTACAATAAGAACTTATAAATAGTCATAAGCCCGAAAGAAAATGAATTCTAGGCAATTCAATTGTCCGAAACTTATTTTATATGGAAATTATTAATTAAATGTAGTTGATTGATTTAGTTTTCAATTTAGAAAATATTATACTTTCCAATTTTTCATTTGTGGGTAGATGAGAGAGAGAGACAGAGAGAATTACCTAAAAAATAAAAATCGCATCTCGTTAAAAAAATTATTTTTCTTGTTTTCAAAGAAAATATCAATGGGCAAAGTTTTAAAATACATTTTCCTACATTTGGTCACATGACCATATTTTCCTCAAAATCAAGAAAAATATTTCGTTTAGGGAAAGTAGAATTTTATATTTCAGGGAATTCATTCTCTCTTTCTCTATCTTATTTATCCACACACTACAAGAAAAAAAATACCTTTTGTAACATGCAAAATGCAATATTCATTAATTGTATGTTGTTAAAAGGGATCTATCGCAACGTTCAGTAAGTGTATGTTGCTATTGGTTAACAAAACTGAGTTTTGACAAGGTTTCTTTAATGAATGTTACAAATACACCCTTTTACAACGTTTGCGGTCCGTTGTCTTTAATTTTTTTTTTTTTTTTTGCAACGTGCAATGCGCGTTGCCATAAATTAGTTTTAGCAACAGGTTATTAGATGTTTTAGTAATGCGCGTCATACATTGCTATTAACATTGTAGCAACGTGTTTTGATCATTGCCATTACGTTTTTGGGCCCAAGCCCCAATGGCCCAATGTTTTTTTTTTTAGATACCCCCTCTTACCAACTAGCTAAGCCAAGAAAAAAAGCCCAAAATCCACAAACCCTTACAACTCAAACCCTTCCCCATTGAAATCGAATACACCTCTTTTCAATTGAAACTCATCCCACACGGCGCACCAACTTCTTCATCCGCCGTCTCACAAGCCTGCTCCTCCAACCCAGTCCCAGAGGCGAAGTGGATCTCCACCGATCCAGCACTAGAACTTTCGGTCGCACATTATGCTTTAGGTGGAGTTGGTGAGTCTTGATTTATTATTTTTGTATTCTAAATGCTGAATTTTGGTATCTATTTTGATGATTGTTGAATTTGAAGGGGTAATTGCAGTTGTTGTTTGATTGCAAAACCCAACTGTTTCAGTTTATACATTTTCTGTCATGAAGCATGACTCTATTTGATGACAGTTTCTAATTCACTTCTTTGGAGACATAAATAGGGACTGCATTTAATCAACAACTTGACTCGTCGGAGATGGCTCAATCTCATCTGACTTTGCATGTTGCATTGTTTCTTAAGTAGAGCATGCGGTCCCATTGTTGAATGGTTTTTATCATTTGTCTATATTTTTTTTCTTTTCCAGTTGAGTTCGACGTTTGTAGGTGATAGAATAATAATGGACAAAGTTTGGCTGCAATTATCAAGGTTATTGTCTTAAATAAGATCTCGTGAATCTACTTACAAAATTTATACAATTTAACATAAAATGATCATAACATTTTACTTATAGGTTTTCAGAACAATATAGAGATGGAGCA